GTCATCGAAAAGAGAAAAACCCGAAAAGTACCCACTACCCACTCATCTAGTTTTCGATACGGTACCCTTAACAAAAATAAAACAAAAAAAAACGCCTGAGCAAAATATAAGTTCTCGAAAAAGTGCAGCAAAGATGAAAAATAAAATATCAGATCTCAAGGAGACTTACGCAGTGTTGCTGCTTGTCACCTATCCTATTTAAAATGCAAATGTTCGGTAATGTTGATACAGATTGGAAACTTAAGTTTGACAATCCCTTTGATCGCAGATGATCAGGTTATGGTTGCTAGTGAAGACTAATTTAAATTATTCAAAATTACACTAATGCAGATATGAATTTTATGTACGAGGTTCAAAAAACGGAAATTTCTTGGCAGCATAGATGTCTGTATTATATAGCAAGTTAGTCAGTTTAAGCACTCAATACTATAAACATTTTATTTTTGTTTCGCCTCATTAGTCTTGCTTATTTGTTGTGTTTTTGTTTGAGTTACATTGTTTAAAAAAAAATAAAAATATGTCATAACATGCTCTATCTATTTTCGTTTTTAAATACAAAAATGCATTTATTATTTATTAATTGTTGAGTACATTGGGACCTGCAATGGGTATTTCTACCCATTTAGTTTTCATAATTGGTTATCTAAGACACTTATATCATGCCATTCCATTCAACATGGATCATTTCATTAACTAAGACTAACAAAAACTGTAATGTTATATAGTGGGTGACAAAAAATTGCAACATTATAACTTTTACTCCGTAATTGGTAGAAATGTTAAACTAAGATGGTTTAGAATAAGCTAAACTAAATTTAAGCTTTTTATAAGACGGTATTCGGGATTTTACGGGTGCTTTATAAACAGATTAATGTTTTTTCAAACAAAATTTCTTCACGAAAACCTCATTAATTTAAAACCAGCAAAAAAAAAAACAAGGCGGAATTAAGATAAATAACCGGAGGTAAAATTTTTCTATACAATAAACGAAGGCTTTCGCTGGAGTGTATACTGATTTAATGAGCTCATTAACTTAAGTGTTAACTGTTAAATTGCTTTCAATATAATTTATAATGAATATCATGAACTGAATTAATAAATTACATCTCTTTCTTCTAACATTATCAATTTTTAATAGTGGTTATCATACAGCCAGTGTAAAATAATGGTTGTTCCGTGAAATATAGAGAAGTAAATGGGATTGATATGATCCGTAGTTTGACCCTAACATCCGACACCGAAGCTTTGTGCCATTCGTGTATGTACAAGTAAATAGCACCATTTAAGTCTAGTCAAGATAATTAATACCTAAATACTGAATGTGGTATAGCAGAATTTTACTTGGATGGCTCTAGAAATACATAAGTAGGTATCTAGGAATACCTCCTGCTAGTGAATTCAAACATTGTCAGTAGTTTCACCCCAACACCCGACACCAAAGTTTTGTGGTTTTCATTAATTTATAGGCAATTGTCGCCAGTTAGTAATAGTATATTATGCAACAAGTGTGGTCAACGGCATTTCAGTCAGGAGTTTATTCGGTACGAGCGGAGTAAATGATTAATAAACGACTTTTAAGTTTTTTTTTTGTTTGAGTAATTGTTTTGATTAATTTGGTTGGCTTGATTTGGCTTAGTTGTACTTACTTTGGGTGAATATAACGAAGAAAGTGATATTGATGTTTTGTTATACTAGAATATAGATTAGCCACTAGAATATACTTTCTTAACTTAGCACCTAGTGTAGGAAAATGAGATTTACTTTTGGGCTTATTTTCAGTGAAACGGACATACATTGCGAGTGAAATTACGTTCTTAATTGTTGTTCATTATTATGTTTCAAAAGTTCGTTGTCATTGTCAGTTGTTAGTCATTATGGTTCACGTAAGTCATGGGTGGGGTAAAAATATTTAAAAAAATGAAACGATATACGCTATATTTGCTCCCAAAAAAAGTTTCTGTTCTTTTGAAGTTTAAAAAGGGAGAATAAAGCGACAGATAGCTTTTTACAAAACTTCTGGATTCCTGCTGCGTCGGTTTTTGCTGAGTCGAACTTGTTGACGTTTCGCCAATCAGCAGCAGGGATATCAAAATATAGTACACATTTGAATGGGAGAATTTTCTAATTTATGAAGTGCTTTTTATTAGCATAAAATGTTCACTTGAATTTTTTGGTACTCGCAAATAATTGAAATTTAACGCTCCGATATTGAATAATGGCTCATCTATCCCGGTATAAAATGAAGTGGGCGCGTATGATGGAAAGATAATAATAGACAATAAACAATAACGCGGTATTCCTACATTGATGCCGACGTTAAACCGAAAGCACTAAAACTTTGCAGGCATTTACATAATACCGCTCGCGTTGAAAAGCGTATCGCAGTTTCGGACGTATTTTTGCCATTTATATTCACCACAATAAAACTAAAACCGTGTCATAGTCCTATCTGATTTAGTGCGGGTCCGGAGCGGGCGAGCGAAATGAAAATTTGTTCAATACCGATCGTATTCATACATTTCAATCAAAATAAATTTTGGCACATTCGGTGAACGGGCGTAGAGTGTGTGTGCGCGTCGCGTTCTGTGGCCGAATTCTCGTAAATTCAATTGAAAAGCCGCCATCGAAATGTAAAACGTGTACATTCGACTATACGGCGCCTGTCACTTTTATGCGAACGCCGTGACGTCCATGCCGATGGCTATCGAAAATATAGTTTTTCGATTCCCGGCCATATGCAAAACTTTACTGTATATAAGGTCCTACCCATCGGACACCTTTCAACTAGCTATACAGGGTGGTCCGTAATGAATGGGCCGAAAAGCAATCTTAGATTAAATTGGTGAAAATAATAATATTGAATTCTAGTAAAGCGTCGCTCATTATTGAGATACAGCATTAAAGTTCAGGTCCCGAAATTGTTATTTGAAGTATGAAATGAACACATGCACATTGACTTTAACCTTAACCTAAATAATAAATAATAAAACAACTTAAAATGGTTATAGCCTAGTAAAGCGTCGCTCATTAGTGAGATACAGCATTAAAGTTCAGGTCCCGAAATTGTTATTTGAAGTATGACATTAGAAAAATTGCATTAAGTCAGCCGCGCAGTAACTTAGATAAATACGTTTGCTTAAGGATGGTAGAGACAAAGTTTCAGTAGAAATACTAAAAGAATATCGAACTTCCATTGTAAACACAACGTTTCGGGTAGTTATCTACCCGTTTGCAAAAATATATTTTTTTAATATAAACACCCCTAGTAAACAATTTCATTTAACTTTGTCTGATATGGATGAACGAATGATGGTGAAATGGATTTCTTCTAGGCACTGGATGGATTACGACAAACTCGTACGGTATAAAGAAGACTTTTAATGCAATTTCATTTTAAGCTCTAAAAAAGGCAACAGGATGATTGGCGAAACGTCAGCAAGTTCGATTTATAAACAACCAACGCAGTAAGATTCCAGAAGATTTGTACATAGAACTTGTAATGCAGTAAACACAGACACATTAGGACAATTCAAATGTTCGGACTTGACAAGCACCAAATACTGAAGCAAACGTGGCATTCCGACCGATACAAACAAAATTTGTTTTAGTGACAATCTGCGTAATTAGAAATGACTTTTTTCTTTCAAACCAGATGATTTATTTGTCCGCCGAAAGTATTTGAAAAATATATTTCATTTCTATTTTAAATATTATAAAAAAAATGTCAAAACTGCTTTTTATTTGATAAATTCTGGATAAATAGACATTAATAACAACACGCAAAGTTCTCAATTCTCAAAATTCAATTTTTTTTGAATGATTATTTCTTTTTTCAATATTTTTCGTTAGGATATAGATATTAAGTTGACATTTACTAACACCTCCATATTCATTGCAGAGATAGAGCACAGAGCACTAAAACATAATAAATTTGTCTCAGCTTAAAAGCAATTCTAAGTAATTTTAATTAACTATGGCTTGACTGGAAAACCTGGTGTTTTATACAGTTATGTTAAATTGAACACTTAGCATTATAGTTACTTATTTTTTATTTGGAACTCGTTGGCCTATTTTTTATTAAAAAAAAGCCATGGAACCTGAATGATTGCAACAGACATTTTTTCTGATAAAATAGGAAAATCTGCAAAACCTATTTAATTTAGCGACTTTATGACAGGTTAACTGCCGAGTTACTGAAAATTATTTCAAATTTACGAGGTAGCTCCTGTGGGATCTTGGAAATGACTTGAACTAAGAGTCGTTACGTCGAGAATACGTATGTCTCAATTAGCTCATTAGAATCAATTATCGATATTCATGTCAAGATTAGGATATTGATATTGAGTCAACGTTACCAATTCAAATATTTTTTACCGAAATAACAATGACAGGAACAACGATTCGTAATCGATATTAATAAATATTCGAAACCTTTGTGTATCACGGACAGAAATCAAAGAAAGCGGCGCGTGTCGACAATATAAAATAAAGACAAAACATTCGAAAATAAGCGCTTCAGATGTGTGTAATATGAAAGGTGGATTGAAATATATTTATTTTAAATGTTTCCAATAAAAATTTTCTAACAGATTTTTTATGGTTTTCGATCAGATTGTCAAAATAAATATAAATTTGAACCTCTTTGTCAATAAGTTAAATCTCCAAAAATTTCCTCGAGAAGGAATTACCTGAGCCGAAACAAATTTGAAGTGCGCGCAGTGGAAGCAACTAATAAAACAAATTGCACATTATTAGAAATTCCGATGGCCTGTTTTAATTAAAACAAGTCTCCGTAGCATCCTGTTGCCAGAAGTGCGGCGACGGACGTTTACAGGACCGTAATGCAAGTTTAATTAGACAATTAATTTTCCAGGGGCAAAGAGGTGGGCAGAACAGAATGTCACAATTTGAAAGTAATTGCTTGAAGCTTTAATTAACATTAAATAGAAAGGCGCGGTGCTACTAATTTTGCAGAGGTCGATATCAAAATTGCTACTTACAAGTTGTAATGGACGTCGGCCATATTGGGTCGAAATTCTAGTGCCTTGCGGAATGCCCATTCCGCTTCTTCGGTGCGACGTTGACTGCTCAGGACACTCCCGAGGTTTCCATATGCTGCAAAATAAAAATTATCTAAGATTCGATTGATACCAATGTTGCAGTTTACAACACTGGTGCGATAAAAGACTAGTTAAAAATAATCCCGAAATCACTGCTCACTGAAAAACCATTTTATGGTCGTCTTATCAATTCCTATTACATCATTAATATCAAAACTTCCCCATCATCCCCAAACTCACCTCCATCGAGAAATAATCCTTCAAAATTAGAAGTTTTGTGCCTATTTATCACCTGATATTAAACAAAACTAAAAGAAAACTTACACGCTGAATATAAGTTTGGTCTTTTTGACATCAAATTTGAGACAAATTGCCATAAATTTATTTGAGATGACGAAACTGACATTAGATAATTGCTTATATAAAATAATTGCTTTTTATCCCTTCTTATACTTGCCCAATTATTTTTTGTGGCATATTAACGGATCACCGTTTTATTTAAAGCTACTACTGTAGAGCAGGAGGCGAGGGACTAACAGCTGTGGATGCCTGATGTACACAAATTTCCCAGATAGAGGTAACCCAACAATATACAGTTTTTACGACACAATCCGGTATTTAACTTTGCCAAATTATTATATCTTAGTAGGCTGCAAAAAAAAAAATTGAAGTCTTGCGTCAAATAGATTTTTATTGACAGCATTTTAAAAAAGACGTGTCCGAAAAAATGTCGCAATTAACGCAAATTGAGTATAGAGCATTCATAAAGTTTTTGACAAAAGAAGGGTTAGCATCTAAAATTAGTAAAGAAAGGCTGGATGGTGTGTACGGCCAAAGTTCTCCTTCGTAGTCTGTAATGAATGAATGTTCAAAACGTTTTCGAATGGTGCGGGAGTCCCATGAAGATGATTCAATAACTGGTCGACAAGTGAAGGTCATAACGGAAGATATTGTTGCGATTGTGGAAGAGGTGGTATTGAGTGATAGACGTTAAAAGGTTAAGGAACATCTCGGAAATTACTAAGCTTTCTGATACAAGTGTTCGTCGAATCCTGCATGATCATTTAGGTATGCATAAGGTTAGTGCAAGATGGGTTGTGTGTGGAGTATGCGCGGTCTTTCTTGGAACTCTGTGGGTCGGAACCGAAGCCGGTGATAGAAACTATTGTGATGAGAGATGAAACTGTGGTTCTCTATTATGACCCTCTATTGAAAAAAGAATCAATGTAGTGGCGTCGCAAGGGTGAAGCACCTCCAACAAAATTCAGAGTCTGCCAGTCAACAAAAAAAGTGATGGTCACGATCTTTTGGGATTGTGAAGCAATTCTTTTGATATATTTTAAAGAAACTAATACCACTGTCAATGGTAAATATTACCCAACATTATTACATAAATTGCGAGACTGCATACTCGTAAAACGTCAAGGAAAACTGACCAGAGGCGTGCGTCCTTTGCACGATAATGCACCTGTCCATACTGCTGGTGTTGCACAAGCTGCCATTTTACAGTGTGGGTTCCCACAGATAGATCATCCTCCCTATAGTACAGATATTGCCCCCAGCGACTATTATTTGTTTGCATATTTGAAAAAGTGGAGTTAAAAGAGTCTGCTTTAGCTCATTTTGCAGAAAAACCAAAAGAATATTTTTAAAGGGATTGAGTTGTCAATAAAGAGATGTAATAACTATATTGAAGTTAAGGGGGATTGTATCGAAATATAATAAAAAATTGTTAATCTACTTTGTTTCTTTCATATTCAGGACGGGAAATTTTGGCGCTGCCCTCGTATATACAAATACTCACAGCTGACGGATTTATATAGAGTTTGCTCGGTGAGATTCCTCGATTATTATTAGTCCATGCATTAAAAATTCTATTTTTAATTTAAATTTTTTATTACAAATGAAGGAATAAATTTAGCCACAAAACAATGTTAGAGTACTTATTAAAAAAAAAGTTATTCTACATGAAAATAATCACTATCGTCATTGGACTCATCCCCCACATTAATAATTAATTCTGGGGCTAGTCGACTTCTGTAAACATTTTCTTCTTCGATGACATGTTCTACACATTTTTTCCAACTAGAAGCAGATATTTTTTTTACTTTACCCCTAATTAGTTCAATTTCCTCAAAACTAAATTTGAGGTGTTGATTCATTTTAAACTGGGTTTCAGCCGTCCTCATATCAGTTCTCCCCAGAAACATTTAAAATTATAATTTTGGCAACAACCGACAAATGTGTCCATTTGCATTTGATGGAAGTTCATCATCAACGATAATTACGTTATCGACCACAATCTCAACTTATTTGGTAAAAATAAATTGTAATAAAATGTATATGGTACCTTAATAAAAATGGCACACATTAAAAATCAATTATCTACATAAGATTTTGTATTGCTTTCCTAGAAAAACATTTTCGTGTCATTATGTTAAACCCTTAAATTGGAAATCAGTCAAGCTTTCTAATGTGTTTTATATATAGGAGAGATTCACCTTTGTGATAGGCAAATTCAACTTGAAATCGAGCTACCTTAAGTAGGGACCGTTTTAATAAGATTTATAAAAACTACGCTAATATGAATTGATATAGCAGTTTAATCAAAGAAAAATTTCCCCATTCTTAAGATTCTTGTCGGCTAATATCATAAATACCGCCCTGGCTTGTGATACGCGTGCTGAAAAGAATGGTCCCTTCCACTTCACAACAGGCGGGTCTTAAACTCATTCCGAAGTCAAAACCATAAAAGGTTGTAAAAACCGGAAACTTTACCCGTGGATAGATTTCAGCAGATATTAGTAGGTTTGGGTGGATAATCAAATTGCTATGCCAGTTTCTTTAGTAATATAGTAGTAGTAGTTAGTAGTATTTCCTAATAGCAATTTTTGGATACATTCTCAAATTAACTTTAAACAAAAGTCCTCCTTCCAAAGTCCACTTTTGATATTAAATTAAAAATACACCACAGACGTATTGCATATTGTATATGAAGTAGGTCTATATAAAACAAGGAAGTTGTTACTTACTGGAACAATTGTTCGAGTTCTAGTTTTTTTTTTAATTTGGTACACAATAAATACGACACACTTTTGGTCAGCTGTTTACCCCTTCTGCGGTAAATAATGAATTTTGTAAAAACATATTGAATAAATTGATTTATCTCACCAGCGCTCACCGAAGATAATGGAAACTTTTTTGATATCAGCATAGTTTCACAAAGTTAACGTACCAACCATTTGCTCGTAAACTTGATGAAACTATTCAAACTATCGTAAATTTAGGATTAGAGTGGGGAACAACAAACTTCTGTCAGCAATGTTAGCTAGTTCTAAAACTGCTGTTACGTGTAACTCAGGTATGATAAATTCCATTAACAATATAACGAGAAACCGAATAGTTTCAAAGAGTAATCAACGAATATTTCGCGGAAATTTTAACATTTAGGGGTTCCCGAGCTGCATTCAAAATTCATTTCGCACAATGTGGGTTAGAATTGCTATTTTTTTTATTGCCCTAGATGTGGATACATGCATAAATTATTAAAATGTCAATTCAGATAAGGCAAATTGCAACAGTTTTTGTATTGCTTCCTTGATTCATTAAAGTTATTACTTCTTAGTTGCTTTTAAAGTCTAATTTAATCAAATAAATAATTTCAAACAAAATTTGAAATTGAAAAAATATAAATGAAATTGGGATTATTTTCACTTATAATTATTTTAAACCCGGTGGTTAAAAAATAATATTTTGCATTTTCTGGCAATACATGCATAGCAACCAATAATTTGCTGCTATTATAATGCCACTACCAATTAATATAAATACTAATAATAATAATGGGGTTGAACAAAAACTGTAATCATCGAGATGAACTGCTACAAGATCTGCAAATGTTGAATAGAGAATTATTCTGCTCTGAAGATAAGATCGCGTTCAAGACAAATGTGGACTGCTTGGACACAAACACTTAGTGAATGTAATCAGGAAAAAAATGTTCTTTGTGTGCGGGGATCGTCATAGGTTTCAGTGCAAGAAGTAAGAAAAAAGGTGTGTTTACTGTCTGCATAATAATAAAAAGTATAAAAGCCACAATAACTGTGACCATGACAGTTAAGATGAGAATGAATATCCTCTTCTAGCAAAAAACCACAGGTTTGTTGATAACTTGTTTGTTATTTATATTTTCTTTTTGTTTTTTTTTTAATGACTACTTATATTATTGACAAAACTATACAGGATAAAAAAGTATATAATAATAGGTTTAAATAATACTAGCGTTATTAATGTAGAAAACAACATGCTTTGCATATTGCGTTTAAATATTATAAATATTTTTTGAAATTATGGTTGCAACTCTGTTCATGTGTTAATACTGGATGAGTGCTTGAGTGCTGGAGCATTCAAAATCCTAACTTTTTTAATATTATAGGCCCCGACAGTCATTATAACTTATCGAAGCTCAATCAAAATAATAGAGTTTTTATTTTCAATAAATCAACCATAAATACTGTTAATATTAAGCTGTTAAACAGTTACATAATAATAAGTTGAATAACATATTAAAAGAAGAATTATGCTCTTAGAATAAATATTTTAGAATAACTATTTTTTAAATATATCACTGAACTGAACAAATTAATTATGACAAATTAAAAACTTTAATCTGAAAATTGTTAAAATGTATTACAAAATTATGGTGCAAAACACTACTCGCAATATTTTATTGATACTTTCTTATAATACATACACGAAGCCAAAGTAATTAAATTTGTTAAAAACAATATTAAGCTGCAAACGAGTTACGAATTCTCTGAGGGCAAATTTCATGTGTTTGATGATAATGGAGATTTGCTTACAGATGACCGTTTAAAATGAGCTTCGGTTCCTGAAGGTGAAATAACAATGCACATAAATTCGTTAAAAAATAATAGTTCCCAGGATTAGACAATACTTTTTACAAAACTTCTGGATTCCTCCTGAGTCGAACTTGCTGACGTTTGCCCAATCATCCTGGTGGCTTATTTAGAGCTTGACTGAAACTGAAACTGA